CTGTTTTTTTTTTATTTATTTATTTATATTTATTTATTTTTTAATGTGCTGGTTTTTTGAGGCATTGTTTTGTTATGAGCACAGGCTGTTCTCAGATTCAGAGATCCTCCCGTCTCAGCCTCCATGGTGGTGGCGTTGCAGATAGGCACCACTAGTCCGAGTAGCATTTGCCTGTCATCTTTGCGTTTACGTGTGTAAGAACCTTCTTTTTATGTGCTGTGTAACGTTCCCTGTCATGTTTGGTAGTTCTGAGCACTTGCTACTGGCTTGGCTTCTTTTTGAAGGAGGGTCTGGCTCTGTAGCCCAGGTTGGCCCTGAGCTCTTTTCCTGTCTGAGTTTCTTAAGAGAGCTGGGGTTACAGGCGTGCACAGTACCTGGCTGGCAATGCACTCCTTAGTCTCCCTCAGTTTTTCCGTATTATAGAGAATGTCTGGGCTTTAGCATCAGTTGCGGCCTAGGCACTTTTTCGTTTTGTTTCATTTCTTCTTTTCTTTCTTTTCCAAAGCTCTAGTTGGACACGATGGCTCTCACTGTAATGCGAGTGCTCAGGAGGCAAGAACACTGCTAGGAGTCAAAGCTAGCCTGGTCTCTGCAGTGAGTAAGACTGAACAGAGACAGGTGAGGTCCTGCCTCAGAACACAAGCACGGTGTGCAGATGATTCAGTGCTGACAAATTATGCTTCTAGGATTTTTGTTTGGTTAGTTTTTTGTTTTTTATCTTTTTGAGACAGGGTTTTGCTTTGCAGTTCAAGCTGGCCTTGAGATCACTTTGAAGTCCAGGCTGGTCTTGAACTCGCAAAATTGTCCCAGTCTCCCGAGTGCTGGGATTGCAGGTGTGCCTCGCCATGCCTGGCTTAGGTTACTTTTTTTTTTTTTTTAAATTTAGGGAAGGGTCTACAGCGTGTTCAGGGTCTCACTACTAGATCGTACTCATGGTGATCCACCTGTTTACAGCCTCCCAAGAGCTGGGATTGCAGGTGTGCGCCACCACGCCCAGTCTCAGTCACTGTTTCAGTGTGCCCCAGGGGCAGGGCTGGCACAGCAGGCCTGGGGATTGACCTCCCAGCCCATCCACAAAACTATTTGGCCGGTCCTTATATTACCTTGTAAGGGATCTTCATTTCTCAAAATCTAACAAAAATGTGCCCAAGAACTTCACTGGGTGGCCAGCCCATATTTATTTGGTTTTCAAACAAAAGAGGAGGATAGTGAAGAAAATGGGAATCTGAGAGGAATCTAGCGAGATTGGGAAAATTGGGAAATATCATCCCAAGTAGTAGGTTCTGTCAATAAGGAGAACTGCCTTACGGACAAGTACTGTAGGAGCGTAGCGCCCTGCAGCTATAGTCTCCTTTTGATTTGGATTGGAGCTGAATGTCCTCAGCTTGTCTTGAGGTGCCAAACTTTACAGGCCATTGTAGGCCTCAGTGGGGACCAGTGACTCACAGAGCCTCACTGACTGACTCCACTGCCCGTCTCCAGACGAGGGTCTCAGCCTTGGCAGACTCAACATCAAACGTGAAGAGCCAGTTGGTTATACGAAGCTCTGCACAGGGCCCCTTCATAGTGGCCTCCCAGCTGCCTGCTCCCTCGTGGTAGGAATGCTGTGGGTTATGTCCTCTACTCTTGCTTTTTGGTATGTGCTTGGGATTGAACTCGGGACCTTGCCCTCTCCAGGCAGGTGCTTATGCTACTGAGCTATCTCCCTGGCATACTCTTGTTAATGGAATTTTGTTTTTTTCTTTTCTTTTTTTGTTTCGCTTTTTCATAAAAGTTAAATTTGGAGCCTGGCTCAGTGGCATACGCCTGCACTACCAGCTCTGCGGGAGGCTGGAGCAGGAGGATCACAAGTTCAAGTCCAGTATGCGAAACCAGACTTGAGACCCTGTCTCAAAAAATTTTTAAAGGGGCTGGAGAGATGGCTCAGTGGTCTAAAGCACCTACTTAGAACAAGCTTAGCAAAGCATTAGGGACCGCAGTTTGATCCCCCAGCACCACATGCCAGCCCCGCCCCCTGGTGGGCTGAGCTGGCCACACACACCACACACACACTCTCTCTGTCTCTCTCAAATAAATAAAAATTAAAAAAAAAATTTAAAAAAATTTTTAAAGGGGCTGGGGAGATGGCTCAGTGGAGTAAGTGCTTTCCTGGCAAGTACAAGAGCCTGAGTTCAATCTCCAGTTCTGCCAAAAAAAAAAAATTAAGGGCTGAATCCATGGGGCCAGGGACTTGGCTCAGTAGAATAAGTGCTTCCCTGGCAACTGCAAGGGCCTGAGTTCAATCCCTGGTTCCACCAAAAAAAAAAAAAAGGGCTGAGTCCAGGTGGAGGGCCAGTGAGATAGCTCAGCGGACTAAGTGCAAGCTTAGGCAAATGCAGGGACTGGTATTCGATCCTTGGACCACATGCCGCGATGGCCCGGCCATGGTTACACATGCCTGTAATCCCAGCACTGGGGAGGCTGAAACGGGAGGAACACTGTGAATCCTAGCTACATAGTGAGATCCTGTACCAAATACAGAAATTAAAAAACAAAACAGGTGGAGTTTGTGCAGGGGCCCAGGGCTCTTCTCCAGCACAGCAGGGATCCCCAGAAGGTAGGAGCAAGACTGCAGACGGTTCCCGCTGCCACGTCACCTGTAGTCCCTGCATGTGGGAGGCTGAGGCAAAAAAATCTCAAGCTTGAAGCCAGCTGTGCAACTCAGACCCTGTCTCAGAAGTTCTTAAAGGGGGTCGCAGGTGTGGCCAGTGCTTCCTGGGTGGACCCCTGCCCTCCCCACAGTCAGCAAAGGAAGGCTTAGTGGGTCTGAGGCATAGCGGACTGAAGAGAGCCCATGTGTCCCCCTGGCATTTGGGCTGTGGTGGCACCCTGGCCACCGCCTGGTCTCATCCTTCCCCCCCGCAGGGCTGATGGCGAGGAGCAGGCGCAACTCAGCCTGAACTGCAGTCAGGAGGCCTTGTCCCGTGTGGTGGCCTGGCTGGCCCAGAACAGTGTGCTCTACGAGAAGACGGAGATTCTGGCTCTGGAGAAGGTGCCTGGCGGGCAGCGATGTGAGCTGAGTGGTGCTGCTGGTCCTGCGCATGTGACTGCACTGTGGGCCAGTGGCCGCGGGAGGTGGGGTGGGGCTGGCAGCTAGGGAGCGGGGTTCCCCTGGGTGAGGGGTCATGGGTTTGGTCTCTGCACCCCGACTGGCCCGTGGCGTTAGCTCTTGAACATGATGGGCACGTGCAAGCTGGCGACTCCTGTATCTCTCCTGGCTGAGAATGCCTTTCGATGAAAAAGTGCGTTGGAAAAGCATGCCCATTTCCAGCTCCTCCGTGGACATTGCCCCCGTAGAGCTCTCACGAGTACCTCAGATGCAGTGTGCACAGCTGGCCACTTCTGCTCCAGCCCTTTCAGCCTTGCTGTTTCCCCAGTTTCATTGGTGCCTCCCAGGGGTCTGTGGCTGCTCCCAGCCCCTGGGAGTCCCAGGCTGAGCTCTGTTCCCTCCAGGGCCTCCCCGCCCGCCACCTCGCCCTCCATGCCTTCTCTCATGGGTGCCTCACCTCACAGCTTGTGGCCTAGTCAGCCCTCGTAGGGGGCCTTGCGGCCTACGGTTCAACATGGGGGACCGTGTGGCTAAGTCTCACTCTCCTCAGCCTTTGCTGCTGCAGACTGGGATGGGCCGGCAGTGCACGCTGGATGAGCCCGTGAGCCTGGCTGCTGTGATTGAGCGGGTAAAGACACACCTGAAGCTGCGCCACGTGCGGCTGGCGCTGGGTACAGGCCAGACCCTTGGTGAGTGGTCCCCAGGGTGGGCCAGTACCTGCTGGTGGCAAGGGACGAGGAAGCCGTGGTGCACAGCGAGGCTTGGGCTGGCAGGTCTCCCCAGCCTAGAGTGCCAGGCGCTCTTGCCCAGCCTTAACCAGGCCAGACAGGGTGCAGAGGGCTGAAGGGAGCGCTGTGGGCGGCCGTGGCTCTTGCAGCAGGCTGGTGCTTACTGAGGGTTGTGACACCTGCCTTTCCATGGCTTTTCTGGAGCCTTGGGGACAACGTGGATGGGGTGACAGGTGCTGGATGGCTGAGGGTGCCCAGATGGCCCTTGTAGATACCCTCAGGCTTTTGCCTGCGAGTGTGTGCCTTGGCTGCTGTACTTGTGGTCACCTCTGCCAACCCTTGAGGATGCCCATCACCACTCCTGTGGGCACAGCTGGGCAGAGTCTCCTGGCCACGCAGCCCCAGGAGCCGCAGCTGCCCCTGGAGCATCCCTGCAGGGAGCACTTGCAGCGCTTGTCTGCTGGATCCCTAGGCTCCAGAGGGCACAGGGCATGTGCTGGGGACCAGGCCAGGCCTCTGTATGCACTTTGGATGGCAGGTGGAGCCATACCTGTCCTTTGCTTGCTTTGAAGAGTCCCAAGTCCAAGATGTGGCCCTGTGTGCTGGCTCCGGGAGCAGCGTCCTGCAGGGGGTACAGGCCGACCTGTATCTCACAGGTAGGAACTCGGCCTGGGTGGGCCTCACAGATGGAGACAGCAGCTCTTAGGACAGGGCTGGGAGCATGTGAGACATCTGAGCTGTTCCCTAAACTTGAACAGGGCCATCACCCGCGTGGAGATGCACCAAAGCCTTGGTTGGGGAGGGAACAAATTGAATAACTGATGTGCATACCTGTAGTCCTAGCTCCTTGGGAGGCTGAGATAGGAAGATAGAAAGATTGAGTCTAGTCTGGGCAATTTAGTGAGCACTTCTATCAGTGTACAAAGATAAAAGGCCTGAAGATACAGCGTATTACGAAGGTTCTGGGTTCAGGCTGCAGGACTGATACCTACACACTAGAAAGACAGTTGACGCTCTGCTGCCCCAGGTTGGTGCTGCTGCTGCTGGCTCCCTCACACACCTTGCAGGTCTGCACTCTGAGCCACTGCAGCTGAGGTGGAGCCCTGTGTTGTACTCCCTGCCTCAAAAACAGAACTAAGGGGCTGGAGGGATGGCTCAGTGGTCTAAAGCACCTACTTGAAACAAGCTTGGCAATGCACAGGGACCGCGGTTCAATCCCCCAGCACCACATGCCAGCCAGCCCCGCCCCCTGGTGGGCTGAGCTGGCCACACACATACACACACACACACACACACACACACAAATAAATAAATAAATAAATAAATAAATAAATGTTTAAAAAAAAAAAGAAAGGTCCTGAGTTTGATCCCTGGTACCACCAAAAGGAAAAAAAAATAAAATAAAAAACAGAACTAAGTAAATTTCTTCTTTATCTTGTATGTATGTATGTATGTATGTATGTATGTATGTATGTGAGATGGGTCTGACAGGTTCAGCCTGGCCTCAAACTTTTGATTCCCGGGCTGGTCTTTTTTAACTCATGGCTGTCCCCTGCCTCAGCCTCAAGTGCTGGGATCTTCCTCTTCAGGGCCTCGGATACTTGCTCAGGTCACCCAGAGGAAGTTAGGGCTCTTGGTGGGATGGCTTTTGCTGTCCCGTTGGCCTCAGACAGTGCAACAAGCTTGTGCTGCCGTTTCCTCTGTGATGCTTAAATGCTTATCTCCCCCATCACAGGCGAAATGTCCCATCATGATGTCCTGGATGCCACTTCCCGAGGAATCAGCGTCATCCTTTGTGAACACAGCAACACTGAGCGAGGCTTTCTTTCTGAGCTGCGAGACCTGCTGTGCGCGCGCCTGGAGAATAGGGTGCAGGTGGTGTTGTCTCAGTGTGACCGGGACCCTCTCTCTGTGGTGTAGAGACCCTGTCTCAGAAGACCAAACCAAGAAACTAAACAGTTTGAGCTTGCCAGGACCCATGGCTAGCAATGGGTTGAGGCCCACACTCAGCCAGCATGCTTAACTGTTTCTGAAGTGCATTCATAGCAAAGCTCGTGTGAGCGGTGTGGGCATAATCCAATTTTTTTTTTTTTTTTTTTTTTTTGAGACAGGGTTTTGGTATGTACTTCAAACTAGCCTTGAACTCCTATGGAACTCATGGCAATCCTGCCTCAGCCTCCCAAACGCTGGAATTACAAGCGTGTGCCATCATGCCTGGCTAGCCATCCACATTTTTTGTTTTTGAGATAGGGTTTCACTATGCAGTGCAGGCTGGCTTTTATCTTAGTCTGCAGCCCAGGCTGGTCCCTCCTGCCTCAGCCTCCTGAGTGCTGGGATTACAGGTGTACATAACCACACCTGGCTAACCATCCACTTTTACTGTGATTTTTTTTTTCCCCCCTTTGGGTGGTATGAGGGGAGATTTTAAAACCACACTTTGTTTCTCTTTGCAACTTATTTTGATGATAAAAACAAATCTTTTAAAACATTGTCCCAAATGTCAAGGGACCCTAGCAGGGATTATTCATAGGGGGTCACTGAGGAGCAGCCCAAAGGCCTGAGCCCTGTGGCATCCTGGGCCAGCCACGTCAGCTGTGCGTGAGGGGGGCTCAGGAGAGTTGGGCGGTATCCTCAGAAAGGTGACAGCAGAAATGTAGCTTTGGAAGCCCAAGTGCAGGGACTCAACCTTGGGTAGCCATGGCGCCAGCACAGTAAGGGGCCCACAGTACTTCTAGTAATAAACCAGCACGGAATGATTCTATTGAAATTGGCTTTTATTAATAGCACTGTTACATAGAGTTAACTGCTCTCAAATAGTGTACAGACACAAAAATTATAAAAATAAACCAGATATTTAAGACCAAATGCGAAAGTTTGCATGTTAGGTCATTAAAAGTTTTATATATTTTTATAGTATAACAGTTACAAGACGAAAGCAAAGTGCAAACCAGCAAGCACATCACCACTGTCTGTAAACGTAGAGGAGACGTCTTGGCGTGGAGTCCCGTGAGGGTGAACCTGTAGCGTAACAAGCTCCTGTATACCACAGGTTCACCACCACAGGCCTGGAAGCCACAGAAGGAAGAACAGGGAAGATGCTGTCTGGCCAGCTAAACCCCGGGGCCAGGGAATGGGCAGCAGATTCATTCTCATTAAATATACTCTGGACTGGCCAAAAACTAAAAACTCCATTCATGTACAAATCATATTTTCGGTAGTTACATTTGAGACTATAACCTTAATGGATTTATTATGGAATCAATTATGTGATTGATTCCAAAAAATTAAGCCAGGCATTTTTGGAAATACGAAAGTTACAAGGTAAGAAATGAGTGAGGAAGCGGATGGTGCACAGACTTCATTAGTCACACAACAAAGCATTTCCTTTCCAAGCAGGAAGTTGGGGTGTAGGAGGAGGTTCCCTGCGGGGGCCACGCTTGGCTCCACCCCTCAGGTGCGCACGCAGGCTGTGGGAGGCTGGACCTGGCGCTCTCTGAGGTGGAAAGATCCTGTGTGCGTTTCACGTCTGCCAGACACCAGCCCACCTTACTAACACTATTCACCTGTGTATTAGTCGAGAAGGAAAAAAAAGATGTCAATATCTGTGAATGGTGTTGTACTTCCTGTTCTGAGAACAGTCACCAACAGGTCATTCACGGTTACTTCTCAGTCTGGCTTCCGGTCTATCCCTGAGGTCAGGGTCACAGTGCAGATGTGCCCTGTGTGTGCTGCCCTGCACTCGAGTCCAGAGGGACAAAGCTGGGTCCCCTCCACACACACCTTTCCTGACATGCCCCCACCCTCCCAAGACAGCACACATGGGTGCCCTGGGACAAGCACATGGCAGATGTCCAGCTGGGTGGTATTAAAGGCCCTCCTCAAGAAGTTCGGGATAGTGTCTCTAGGGTAGAATTCAGAAGCATCCAGTCCAGCAGTCCCTGAGCAGCCTCCACCTGGCAGGAAGTCTCCCGAGGTAATGACTGAAGAAAGGCACATTTGCTTGCCAGGAGTTCCGCGCTGGGAAGAAGGGAGCGCTTGTGAAGGCCGCGCTGCTCGGGGACCGGGAGCTGCACCCATGGACACCTCTAAGCAGCAGCTTCAAGCCTCCTCTTCCTCCAAGAAATCGGTCAGCGTCCCGCTGTCAACAGGAATTAGTAAATACTCCACGCCATCCGTTCCCTAGAGCATCCAGGAATGTCCAAACGTTAGTCCTTTGTTAAGAGCTACTCGGTCGGAGGCGATGGCTCAGTAGAATAAGCACTTGCCTGGCAAGTGCCAAGGGTCTGAGTTCAATCCCAGGTTCCCGCCCAAAACAAAATTACTCAGACCTACGGTGGATTCCACCAAAAGTGTACTTGACACCTCTTAAGGACTTATTTTTAACTTTTTTTTTCCTGCTGAGATGAATTCAGGACCCTGTGCTTTGCCAGGCAGGTGCTTATGTCTCTGAACTATCTCTGGCTCCTTTTATTTATTTGTTTCGTTTTTTTGGTGCTGGAATGGAACCCAGGGCCTTGTGCATGCCAGGCAAGAGCTCTACCACCATTCACATCCCAAGTCCATTAAGGACTTTTAAATAGATACGTAATTTAAAAATCAAGGCAGGCTGGACACAGTGGCACACACCTGTAATCCCAGCGCTTGGGAAGCTGAGGCAGGAGGACTGCTGAATTAGTTGCCAGCCTGGACTACATAGTGACACCCTGTATCAATACTCAGGTAGGGTAAAAGGGTAAAGCTAGAACACAATTACAATGCCAACTACTCAGAAGGTTGGGACAGGAGGATTAAGTCTGAGGCCAATATGAGCAAATTAGTGAGACACTGTCTCAAAAGACACCTGTAATCTCAGCACTCAGAGGCGGAGACGGGAGGATTATCTTGAGCTCAAGGCCAGCATGGGCTATGCAATGAGCCTGAGGCCAGCCTACACTACACACCAAAACCCAGTCGAAACAGGCAGTGGGGCAGATATGGTGTGCGACACCTGTCTCAGTCCTTGGGAGGCTGATACAAGAGGACTACCACAAGTTTGAGTTTCCATGAGTTTGAGGCCAGCCTGTACTACACAGTGAGACCCTGTTTCAAAAACACAACGCACACACACACATAACACAACATAGCACAACACACACACACACACACACATACACATACACACAAAAGGCACAGGGGTGCCAGGTACGCATTTTCTGCTTTGCAAGGCCGGGTTCTGGTGAAGGCACCTCGTGTGGAGCGGAACCTCGTGGGGCTCCCGGCCCCTCCCAAGCCTGACACTTTCCGAGGTCTCTCCCCTCAGCCTCTGCACACACCAGGGCCAGGCTGCTGTCACCACCCTGCGCTCTGCAGCACCAACACTGAACCCCTGCAGCCCCAGCTGGCGCCTGCTCCATGTGCAGCGATACAGGCCGTCTTGCAGTACGTGAGCTGGTACACTGTGGGTGCCTCGGCCTGCGCACGCACTGTGCCTTGGGAGCTGCTCTCCCACCAAGCTCTCTTCCTGGCTCCGGGAGGTCACCCCCTGGCCAAGCACTGCCATAGACTTTGCTCCCCTTGGTTGCCCACACCCCCAGCACTGCTGCCTGCCTACCTCAGCCCTCAGCCCAGGTCCCTATTCTACACAGGTGCCGCTGCCCGGCCATCACGTGGCTCAGGGTCCGTCCGCAGCAGACCTGGAAGCACCTACCGGTCTGCACGGTCCCGGTCCCGTCCACAGCCCCATGGCACAGGCACCTGAAGAGGCCTTCGTCTCGGGACAAGCCCTTTCCTTGGCCTCCAGCCACACTCAGCACAGCCTGCGCCTCACGCCTGCTTCAGTTCCTGGCGCCATACTGGCTAACATCCCTTTTGGATCTCTAGCTGTGTTTTTCCTCTTACTACCCACTTCCTTATGGCTCTTAGAAGTGAAATGGAGACTCACCCACGCTAGGCAACTGCTGTGCACCTGAATTCCTTCCCCAACCCTTTTTAAAACATTTTTGAGATACGGCACTGCTAAACTTAAAGTGCTGGCCAGAAGTGGGATCCCTGGCTGGGCCTCCCTAGTAGCTGAATAGCTGCCAGCAGGCAGCCTCCTGGTGGAGATCGAATGTGCATCTCGCCACAGCGACACCCCCAACGAGGTCAAATTCACCCATTTTAACATGCTCTTTTGAGACAAGCTTTTGTTATGTAGCCCAGGCCGGCCTCAAGTCATAAGAGCTGTCCTCCTGCCTCAGCCTCCTGAACCAGAGTTGGCATTGCCAGCATGCACCACCACGCCAGGCTGCCACGGGATTCGACACAGTTAAGGTTCTGCACGGGCAAGGTTACCTGACTACTAGTCTTGACTACTACTACTACATCTTCCCATGAGGCTCTGAGTCCCAAAAGAAAGGCATGTACAGCACGATCAGGCTCAGCACTGTCCTAATGCTTCACGCACCGCTGGTACGCGTTAGCACCCAGAAATCACTGACTGGGTTAGTGAACAGCAGAGTGCGGAGAGAAGCGGGCAGAGCAGGGCCCCCCGCTCTGCGGCTCATGGTTGCCTGCTGGGGCCTGGGCTAATGCAGCTGGCCCTGGCTGCTTCCCAAGCTGAGGTGCAGGGACCAGTGCATCCCACGCAGCCTCCCTTCTCATCAAGGCTGAGTCAAGGGAAGCCCTGCCCAGGCCAGGTGTGCACAGCTCACACAGGAGCGGCTGGACGCCAGTCTCACCTTCTTCGTCCTTATGAGCCTGTGGTCCCTGAACTCAGTCAGCTGGGCCCGGAGCGTCAGGTCACTGTTGACAAGGAAGGCCTCCCGACACTGCTGGTAGAAGTCCTGGAAGGACAGCCCTGGGGAGTGGAAGAGGAGACGAGGCCTCAGCCAGCCCTGCAGGCATGACCTGTGCCCACAGCCCCACAGCAGGACCCCGAGGGAAGTACAGCTGCCTGTTGTGACGCCGTCTACACCATGGGTGCAGACAGCAGGTAAATCTAGGGTGCACTTGTGTGCTGCTTGTGGAGGGTGCGTTACAGCCAGCTCCCGGGCTTGGTCAGGTGACTGAACAGGACATTTCAACAGCCTGGACTAAGCTAATTTCCAAAGACAACCAAGCCGGGTGTGATGGTGCACACCTGTGATCCCAGCACTCAGGAGGCTGAGGCAGGAGGATCACTGCAAAGTGAGCTCAAGGCAGCCTGAATTGCATAGTGAGATCTTGGCAAAAGGAAGGGAGGGAGGGAGGGAGGGAAAGAGACCTAAGTCATGAAAGCTGAACAATTACAACAACCTATGTTTCATCAATATTTTATCCCAAAAAGAAGAGTCTCGGGCCGGGGCAATGGCTCAGTGGAATATGCGCTTCCCTGGCAAGCGCAAGGGCCTGAGTTCAATTCCCGGTTCCGCCAAAAAAAAAAAAAAAAGAAGTCTCCTAAAATGCCCATGTATGAAAAGCACAGGTGGGCTGACACGAAGCCACAGCCCAGTGCGGGGATGTCACAGCTGGCTGGGTGGCCCTTCAGTCACAGCCAGGGCCAGCAGCTTCAGTGGCAGAGGGCGCGGGGAGGAGTCACGCAAGTCGGCACCAGTGTTAGATACCAGCGTAGGAAGGGTCCTCCTGCTTATCCAGCTGATGCCTCATGAGCAGCCTGAAAATGCCCCTAGGGAAAGAAGAACAGCAGTCAGAGCCGGGAGTCCGGCAGGAGGAACCAGTGAGAGGCGCAGCCTCGCCTTCGGGGGGCTCTGCACCGAGCGCGCTTCTCAAGGCCCTCTCTGAGTTTCTGTGGCCATGTATGCAGTACATGACACGTGTGTTCACTGTGGGAAGCTGGTGCGTGTACACACGTGCCTTGATTCTTTCTCACTGGGGATTACTCCTCCTTGTAGAAAATTTGGAATGCATAACCCCTAAGAGTCTACAGATGCCAGCTCCATGACCTCAAGACGTCACCTCAGTCAGGTGCTGCTGTGGGATGGCTGAGGCGCAACGGAGGCATGGAAGCCCACGCGTGTGCATACACAGCATGCACCTTTAGAAACGGTGTGTCCCAAGCCTTGGGGCTAACCCAGGTTCTCTGCACCACGCTTGCATCCCCAGCCCTTTTCGGAGGCAGGGTCTTGCTAAGGTACTAACTGGCCCAGGCTCGGCCTGAAGTGGCTACCTCTGCCTCTGCCTCCCAAGGCATGGGGACTGCAAGTGTGCCCGCCATGCCCAGCTGTGCACACCAGTTTGAACCTTTTCATTCATTTATTTATTTATTTATTTATTTATTTATTTATTTTCATTTTTTTATTTTTAAACATTTTTTTAAAAAATGTATGTGTTTGGTATAGGGTCTCACTATGCAGCTTGGACTCGTAGTGACCTCCAGTCTCAGCCCCTTCAGCACAGGACTTACAGGGGTGTGCCACCATGCCCAGGTGCACCAGGACGGGGCCGGCACAGTATGCAGTACCAAGGATTGAACTCAGGTTCTTGCACTTGCCTAGGCAGGCACTTAGACTGACTGCTGAGAGATCTGTGTGGCCC